ACTATTATTGAAGAATTCCACTCGCGGATCTTAGAAATTACTCTGGTATCAAGCTCAAAAATGAGATGGCGGCGAAGTGTATCAATGCATATGTTACAATTAACACATAGCAATCGCAGGGCTAGTTGTCGTTGTTGTGTAGCTGTAGTCTGCACGATGTCTCTCGCAAATATGCAAGATGCAAAATCGGTGTCCAGAAATCAAAAGCACAGAATGATCGTTACAAGTGGTAGTTATCAGTCCGTAAAACAATGCTGAGGTCAAAACAACAAAAAGAAATCTAAAATAGTACAGTACGTATCACAATCCACAACGAATGAAGCAAATAAGATATATAGATATGTAGGTGATTGCCAGGTGACAATCAATGTCGATCGATGACCACAGATTATATAACTTGACGATGAGACATGATGTCCCGTTGTACGTAATTGAACAAAACGCTTAGCTTACTGTGAAGCTACATAATCATTTTTATGACATGAATCCAGTACATAATAAATCAGTATAGTAGTTGATTTGATACCTATATACTAATTGAATTAAATTACAATTAACAACTATTCAGAAAAACGTGAATAATTAGTCCTTGAATACAAAGTACTTTCATACGTGAAATGAATCGTCATTAGGTGCGTTCCAGTGCGTTCAGAAACCATTATTTTAAATAATTTCGGAACAATTACAAAAACAAAAATAAAAGGATGACTTTTTTGTGTGATATTTTTCAGAAATATTTCATATAGTGACGCCATCGTTTCATCGTCTAGTACGATTTGGCCAACCTTTTTTCGGTGCAACATGGCAGCGTTGCCAAAACCAATTTGTCGAATTCTCCGAAAATCCATGTTGAATTTCCCAATTTAAGGACAAAACAACTATTACTACTACCTGCTTGGGATCCTATAATTCATAAAATTAAAACTAAACCCAAGCATACCACTGCAAGACTTCAAGACACAGTAAGTTCATTCTACGTAGATCGGACCAAAATTAATATTTAAAAAGCTGTATTACTCCAGGTTAACTCTGACATCGGGACGTCAGTCACCTCAGTCCCCCGTGACCATGGTTGCTGTAAAGCAACCGAAACGTTGGGAATATAAAATAAGTTCATTAAACGCGATAAAATGCGTAAAAGTAGTTTTATACAATACCAACTATTTGTTTCGCATTCTCTCTCAATTCTCATCTGGATTTGAATAACATTATAAAATTTACTCCTTCACGCACTTAAAGAAGAACAAAATAGTACCTAAGAGGAAACAAGAGGTAAAATTAAAATTTTTGTACAACCGATTTCAAACTAAATAAAATGAGAACATCATCAATGTGGTCGAATGCAATTAAATGCGCATTATTAAGGATAGCTTAAGAACTACTGGTCAGATTTTGATCACATTTATATGGGCCCACGTGAGAAGCACCAGCTTTCAAATAAAAAAAACACCTGGTAAAAGTTCTGAGGTAACACACATAAAATACAGTTGAATTGAGAGTCTCCTCCTTTTTTTGGAAGTCGGGTAATTGTATGGTTTTTCACACTATATTTGGTTGTTGCAACGTGCAACGTCCATATTATCAACCAGATCGTGGAACCAATCTATTTCTACTCTTATTGTAAGTCAGGAGGTAGATACCTATTACAGAATAACACTTTAGTAACTATGCGCTTCATTTTATTGCAAAATTTCAAAATATAACATAATGCAATAGTACAATATTTGCAAAACATTAAATCATTTAGTCATTATCAGAGATAGTTATCTAGTATCAGTGCCTGATTTAGAGTTCCAAGAGCCCTAGGCTAATTATAAATATAACCCCCTCCCCACCAGCCTGTTTAGTATATGCTTGCCCAGCCCCTGAACATATTAGGTGGATTTTTTATATTTTACTAGCTTTCAACCCCGGGGTTTCGCCCACATTAAATAAAATTTTCCTGATAGTAAGTGTCGCCGTCGCCCAAGAACGACTGCAACACAGTCGCATCGGTCCGGAATAATCGCCGATGGCAAATGATTCCACAAAGAAGTCTTGCAAGTAAGAAAACTCCTAGAAAATCGCATAGTCATGGTGAACCGCCAAGCATCCAAATGGTGTGAATGTGCGTTGGTGGAATTTGGCGACAGGAATTAATTCGAACAATTTGTCTAAATACTCCCCGTGGAAAATGCGATAAAAAATGTAATGACGTGACGCCAGTGAATCCAATCGATCCGAAAGAACTCCATCGTCGACGATTCGAGCCTCTATTCACTCAAGTTTTAAGGCGAACTTACGCCTTGAAACTTGATACTTTAGCAAACGATGTGCTAGTATGAAATACTGTCCCACTCTGCTGAGCACGCCAAGCTTTTTAGGAGCCAATATAGCTTTCCCTTCCAAGTGACTGCGGAACTGTACATCGTTTGAAATGTCGATGCCAAAGCTTCTGATGCTAGCTCAGACAGCATGGAGTATGGGGAGTACCCTGAAATTTAGGAGATACGACAAAGGGATTATTTTTAGCAGTAAACGCTCAATCCTATGCCTTCTGAAGTTTAAGCTGGACCAGGGTTATCCCTAATCAAGATACTTCATGAGCTGGTTGTGGATTATTGATTTCATGATTTTGGAGAACAAGGAAGCGATGGTGATAAGCCTGTAGTTGTACTAGGGTACACTGTAATGATCGGGAATAGAATATTTCAGATTGATTTACAATAAAACCTTTTTTAGAATTTGAATACTGGCCTCTTAGAACTGACATTCAAACAATTAAAAATAAATGTTAAAAAACAAAAACTATGTTGGTTTAAAGTTGACACGTCGTTAACAGAAATGGATCTCACACGTGATCATTTCCGTGCCATAATTTATCACAATTTTCGTCGCGGCTTATCTCAAGATAAATGTCTCAGCGAACTTGTTTCGATTTATGATGTTGAAGCACCGAGTCAAACGACAATATACCGCTGGTATGCCGAGTTCCGACGCGGTCGTGTGTCGCTCAGCACTGTTTCTTCTGCAGGTCGACCAAGAACAGCATTCACGTTTGAAAACATCGCAGCTGTGCGAACTATTATATTAGATGACCGTCATGTGACATACAAGCAGATTCGGGCTGTTATCAGTATCAGAATGACTGCAATTTTGTCGATATTACATAATGAGCTGTGTGTTAGAAAGCTAGTTTCCCGCTGGGTTCCCCACAATTTATCCGAAGAGCAAAAGGCGGCTCGTGTAGATTGGTGCCGGAATACTCTGCAACGCTTCAACGGAGGGAAGTCAAATGCCGTTTATAATATCTATCGTCTACGGAGACAAGTCATGGATTTACTCATACGAATCTGAAAGAAAACATCAGTGAGCAGTTTGGGTCTTTGAAGACGAGGTCAAACCAACGAAAGTGGTTCGCTCCCGCAGCGTGTCAAAGAAAATGGTCGCTACGTTTGACTCGAAAAAGGGGCACGTTGCTACAATTCCTTTATAGGAACGCAGAACGGTTACCACTGAGTGGTATATCACGGTTTGTTTGCCAGAAATGATAGGCGAACTCCGAAAAAATAAGCCGAAACGTCGCATCATCTTACATCACGATAATGCGAGCTCCCATACGCCTCGGAAGATTAATGATTTTTTGAAGCAGGAAAACGTTGAGCTGATGAGCCATCCTCCGTACAGTCCTGACCTGAGCCCAAACGATTTCTTTACATTCCCTAGAATGAAAGATTTATTACGCGGTCAACGGTTTGAAGACCCCGAAGCAGCTGTGGAAGCGTACAAATCAGCCATTTTGTCAACATCAACTTCAGACTGGCATTACTGTTTTAATAATTGGTTTGCACAATAGAAAAGTGCATTTAGTTGAACGGAGAATACTTCGAAAAGCAATAAAATACAATTTAGCTATACCGTGCATGTGGTTTTTCTTATTCCCGATTATTTTACGGTCTGAGTGCTCGCCTTTTTAGGAATTGGGTGCACCAAATCTGTCTTTTATAAGTTCTGGACTACGCTTAGGAGTACCGGAAAAGATTTAGCGTTAGAACCAGTGCTTATTATGGAGCACCCGTATCAACGCTATAGAAAAGACTCTATCAGGCCCAATCGATTTATTGTCGTCCAGAGAGAGGAGCGCTTGCACACTGAGCATTTTACTAACCGCAAATCCAGCATGGAGCAATCACACCGCGGGATGGTCAGATGCCTGACAGAAGTTCCTATGGACAGCCTTGGCAAAACACCTTAATAACATTAGAGGTAAAGAAGAGAGCTTGAGCAGCTTAAAATCTTTAAATCACGTTCAGCTAGTTAACAAAGGACGAAAGGTTAAAAATTAAAGTTACAGCCTATATACGGACCATTGCTGGGCACAGGCCTCCTCTAATTTGTGAGAGGGTTTTAGGGCAAGCAAATGTCCACCGTGTTGCTCCCATGCGTGTTGGCGAACTTTACATTTCTTCGAAATATTTTTTTCTTATTTCTCATACATGCAGGTTTCCTCACGATGTTTTATGAGCCGAGCATGTGGTAAACAGTGGTAGCGCCACGCGGCAGTTTTTGCTGTCGCACGGATGGGCCGGCTCGAACCGGGGTGGTACCACGACCTCACAGAAAATCAGCGTGAAGTAGAGGTAGGTTTACCTCTGCGTTTCGCTTGGTGAGTGCAGGTGGCCGGAGGCCCTTTTTACTGGAAATGAGGCATTCCATCTTAGTCCTCACGGGTGACAACGCATCTACATCTTGATTTGTAATAGAGGATAGATGTAGATGTCTATGGGCCGCAGCAACCACTTACCATCAGGTGGACTGTGTGCTCGTTTGTCACCCTTATCCTATATAAAAAAATGTGGTAAATCAGCACTTAAAATTACAATTAATAATTTCAGTGGTGCCATCGAGCCCGGGTTGCTCGCGTACTGTGACTGTATGTGTGAAATTTACAGCGAGCGCTTAGCTCCTGACGGCTCATTTATTTCTTTTGAACAAAAATAAAGAAAGAGAAACGAGATAAATACTTGTGGCACTTTATTATTTATGGTGAATGTTATACCAAATTTTATTCTGTACCTAAGTCGTGTTTGCAAAGGCCAGCTCAGCGCCTCCTCGAACATTGCCCCTTAGGCTCCAGCCTAGTTAGCCTGTGGGTAAATCAGGCCCTGACTAGTATGAAGTTGTAGGCAGGTAATCATATGAATTTTTCTAATACAACTAATATATGGACAAATACATACTCATCATATAGTTTATTGTCATACTTTTACAGGAAATATTTAACTAATAAATCAATGAGAATATTTCGCTAGTTTTACCCCTTTTGATTTTTTTTTGTAAATAGTCTTAATAATTAATTGTAATTAATAAGTAAACTAAAAGGGTTTTGAAAAGACCAATTTGGTTTCAGTACTATTTCTGGACAAGACCAAGATTTTGGTATGAAAAAGCTATCGGTTTCTGAAGGCGGACAATTTTTGCGGGCAAAATATTCCATTGGATAAAGGCTCCAGAAAATACCTGTAATAAAACAAACAAAGCATAACTTATAGATTTTGAATTAATAACTATGTTATTAATTTTGTTAACACGAGCCTACTAATATAATTTCCTTCTTACATTAAAAGTTATAACATACTGGCGTTGTTATTATATTGCCAATATTCTGTACATAAAAAAGAAAACAAATAATAATTCACATATCTTTATATATATATATATATATATATATATATATATGTGTATATAGATATAAAGACATGTGAATTATTATGTCTAAATATAAGTATTTATTCTGTCTCTGTGTATGTGACTGAACTCCTTCTAAACGGTTTGATCGATTTTGATGAAATTTTGTGCGTGTAATAAAGTTGACTCTAGTACGGTTTAGATTCACAATTGGACCCGGTAGGTGGCGCTGTTATCAAGATACAGAAGTCATCCAAGCAAAGCCGGGGTGGATCGCTAGTTATGTATAAGTAATAAAGAACTGGAAGAGCACTGATGAGGCATTAGTGTTCTTATGTAGTAAAGGCAGTTCCAGCTGAATAATTAATTATTCCGTCGGCTCAACCGGCAAAGGATCATGTTTTAACTGAATAACAGCAAAAAATAGAAGAAATATGCTGCTGCTAAGTATCACAATATGAGTGATACCAACCGAAGAATTTTTTAGTGAGGTATTCCATTTTAGGCTTCAGGAGTTAAAACGATTTGATAAGATAACATTTGATTGACAAGATACGTATAGCTCTATGGGCCACGACACCCGCTTTCCATCGGGTGTGCGCTGGATTGTCATCCTTTTTTGCATAAAAAGTGTATTATTAGGAGAAATGAAATAATCATGAAAATTGAGAAGTATCTGAAGTGTGCATTATGTATATAAGAAGCATAAATTAAAAGTAAATTGTGAAATTTTGCATGTCGGAGTTCCACGTCTAAAGCCGCGGCTGTGAAAAGTTTCAAAATTTTTTGAAAATTTTCACATTTGCGGTTTTGGACGTCAAGTGACGACATATTTGACTGTGTTTATATGGTACGTTACTTGAAGATACATACCATTTCCAAGAAAGAGGCATAGCCAAATACAAAGATTCATTAGTCTTGGGAAGCGACGTCCACTGGAAGCCGTGAGTGCCAACAAAATTAGCCCACACACTCCAAACTCCATCAAGACCACAGGGTAGAAGAAGCCAAATGAAAGGGCCAGTATAACCTCGTGTGCGACAGATGATACCTAAAAATTGATCGTGTTTTATATTTTTTATATATTATATTTTAATAAGAGTTTGCATATTAAGAAGAGTGCAAGGTGAATTTAACAACTTTTTCCCAAATGCCTACCTTACTTCGCGGTGCATCGTGCTAATAAATGAACAAGGCTGGGACAACCTAAAGCCTATTAAAAGTGATGAAATCAAATTTCACAACTTGATGGGAAGCAATTTAGAATCAACATTATAGTGTTCATTTCTGGTTATAGTAAAGAAGAAACACTATTGGTTATTACTGCCTTGGTATGGTTTATTGTATTGCCTTGATGCATTATGACATGACCATGCCTGTATATTTTTAATTTTTTTCTCTTTTTTACATCCTAAATTTATTGACATTATACTGTCTTATTTAATTTTGATATGAAATTTTATTGTAATTTTGTAGTTTAATTATTCAATTGCATGTCGACGTAATATTTGCATATCGACAAATCGGTAAAACATGCATGTTCACACTATGTTATAAGACCTAAAATGTACTATGTTTATGCAAATAAATATTTTATTATTATTATATGAGGTGTCAACTTATATATTTTTCTCATCTGGTTAGGCTGTATAAATATATAATGTGTAAATGAAAATTATAAATATACATAATATCCAATAAAATAAAATAAATCAGGGACTTAAAACGTTATTAAATAACAGAATGTATAACGTTATAATAACGTTATAATGGTATCGTTACCTCAGCAATCATAGCTTACTTATCTTCACGCACAATCCCTGACGGGGTGGCCAATCATAGCGTTTTCAATATTTAGTATAACGTTTTAAGAGTAATAGAACAAAATTGTGACAGGCAAATTAACGTTATTATAACGATAAAGACGCGACGTTGCCAAACTTATTCATTTTCAAAAGCGTGCGAATCCGCGCGACTTACGAGATGGGTAGGGCCTGGGATCCAATTGGTCTACTAGATAGCTTGGACGGACGAGGAATTCCTCGCACTGCACGCACTCCAGAGGCGAACTGGCAACGTTGTAAAGTGAATGAACAATTGATAATATCAAGTATTAACCGCTTGCGAGTTTGCGACGTATTAATAATTATACCTAGATAAATATCATATTATGATATTACTTATATTTATTTATTTTTTAAACTTGATTCGAACTACACTTGTTTACACGTATTGGTAATGGATCGTAAAAACTTGATAAATCTTATAGATATTTTAATCTTGATGAAAATAGTAAGACTTCAAAATGCTTAGTTGCTCGATGCAAAAAAGTTTTGAAGGTAAGTTAAGCAAAAACCGTAAATAACGTGTAGAAGAATGCGCCTTTTCCAGTCAGTTTTTATTAAGAAAAATATTCTATTTATATAAGTAAGGTAAGTCTGCTCTGGACACATCTGCCGGCATTCTGAGCGCGAGACCATATGGCGGAGTGGCCATCCTCTGGAGGAAGGGCATTTTTGACAATGTGTCAGTCATAGAATGTAGTAGTAAACGTCTAGCTGCTATCAAAGGTAAGCGGTCGTACTATCTTAGTATTTTCAGCTTACATGCCAACGAAATCTTATGAAAACCTACCTATTTTCACTGAAGTTCTAAGTGAAATAAGTGCGATTGAAGATAGCAGCGATGTCGAAACTACATATCTATTGGGTGATTTTAATGCTCACCCATATGATTTGTTCTATAGAGAGCTAAGTGGTTTCTGTACGGATCGGTCTTGGGTTTGTGCGGATGTAGAAATATTAAAAACCGACTCGTACACATTTACCGACCCGTACCATGGAAGTAGGAGATGGCTTGATCACTGTGTGGTCTCCCTATCAGCCCGGCAAACCATTGTGAATGTAGGGGTTTTGGAAGATGTGTTTGTTTCGGATCATCTGCCCATTTATCTGGAATGTAACCTGAACACTGTAAGGCCTAAGCTGTTGATACATGAAGTGCGGCGTAGTGCAGTGATTTGGGACGAAAGAGATGAATCTCAGATAAATAGATACCGCAACCTATGTAATAACAGCTTACGGGAGGTCAATTTTCCTCCTGAGTTTGTGGATTGCAGCCATGGGTCATGCAGCGTGGAAAACCACAAGTTAGTTTTGGACAGCTTTTATAAACGTATTGTGGATATTCTGCAAGACGCAGCTGTTCAGACCAAGACCCAGGTTAGAGATAAACCAAGGAGGAACAAGGTATTGAGTGGGTGGAATAAGCACGTTGGAAGCTCACCGGGAGGCCAGGCTTCGATTCCAAGACTGAGTTTTGCATGTTCGACCTCCTTCTGGCCTAATATATGAGCAATTATGTGAATCCCGTAAGATCTTTAAAGGCTCAAATGGTGCTTAAATAACCAGGAGCAAATAAAAATGGACCAAATAGCAAAACTAAGAGTGGAAAAGAATTTCAGTAAGTTTTGGAAACCCACAGGGAAACTGAATGTTAGGCCTGGACTCCCAGCGAGTGTCGATGGCAAAAGTGATCCGAAAGGTATCGCAAATTTGCTCATGGAGCATTTTAAGATGAGGTCTCCACTTGGTCCATCTGTTACCAAGCCCGAGTCTGGGCCCGTCGTGCGCACGGAGAGACCGTTGCTGTTGTTTACAACTGGCCAAATAAAGGATGTAATAAAAGGGATGAGCAGAGGAAAGTCTCCCGGTCACGACGGGCTTAGTATCGAGCACCTGAGATATGCAGGGGTGCATTTACCGAGGGTCCTGTCCCTGTTTTTCAATATGTGCATCAGCCACTCGTACTTGCTAGCTGATCTAATGAAAACTACTGTTGTGCCCATAGTGAAGAACAGGACAGGAGATATCTCGGATAATAGAAACTATCGCCCAATCTCCCTCGCTACTACGATAGCTAAGATATTGGATAGTCTGCTTGACTCTTGCTTACAAAATTACTTACAACTACATGATGCGCAGTTCAGTTTCCGGCCCAGACTATCGACTGCGAGACTTACGCTGCCTTGCATGGTCTAGTATACAACATTGAAAAAAGTGAATACATAGTCTTTAGGGTCGCCGGCAGGTGTCCCGAATAAACTTAAATGGATCGGAACTAAAGCGGGTTTATCAATTTAAATACCTAGGGCATATTCTTGCCGACGACCTTAAGGATGATGTAGACATAGAGAGGGAGCGTAGGGCTTTGGCGGTGTTTGACAATATGCTGGCTCGTAGATTTGCCCGCTATTCGGACCAGGTCAAAATAACATTATTTAAAGCATATTGCCAGGGTCTGTACACGGGTGGTCTGTGGATTAGGTATGCCAAAAAATCGTTAAACACGCTGCGAGTCCAGTACAATAACGTTTTCAGGATGATGTTGGTACTCCTCCGCTTCTGTAGTGCTTCTGGCATGTTTGCACACACCAGAACTGATGGTTTTCATGCGGTAGTTCGGAAAAAAGTGGCATCGCTGATAGGAAGGATACGGAGAAGTGACAACAGCATCCTGAGAACGGTGGCAGATGATCCGCATGCGCCTATTGTGAGGCACTTCGTGCGAACGATGACTCATACAGTGGATGGTAATTCTTCTAGGCGTCGACCGCACGGAGTGCCTCTCAGGTACATGACAAATTAGAATTTAATTTAGTCTAATTTTATTTTGATTTGATTTGATTTAATTTAATTTGAATTAATATAATTTTAGTTTGATGTAATTTAATTCTAATATAATATAATATAATTTAACTAAATTTTTTATAAATACTAACACTTAGTTTTTAAGCGATAATGTAATACTAACCCATGGATCATTGTTGTCTGAAAAGAAATGAATTTGAATTTGAAATTGAATTATATATGTAAAGGGTCTCCTAGAAAACAGGACACCAAACTACTTTACCTTCTGTTAGAGCGTGATCCTTCCCCGGTCGAGCCGACCCATTCGTACTACAACTATAGTACTAATATAGCTGCGGCCTTCAGCATAGCTCTACTACATCATACCTTGTCATATTTACCTATCTAATAGGATATCCTATTATATAGGTAAATATGACATTTTAAATAAAACTATATTTTAGGATTTTCGCATGGATTTATTTTAATTTTTGGTTCCCCACGTTTCGAATGCTTTACAGCAATCATGGTCACAGGAGAGATTTAGGTCTTAGACGTCTCAAAGGCATTATATAGTTGTTAAAGTAAAGTTGAATGAATAATATAAATAATTAGTGTTGCTTTTATTTTAATATGTATAACTAAACCATAAAGAAAATTAAAATATTAATTAACTAAGCAATATTATTTTAGCCAATATCATAAACACTCGTGAATCGATTTTGATGAAATCGATATTACTCCCTAAGTTGAAATAAATGTAAGCAAATAATCCCTAAGTTGAAATAAATAAAAAACGAATGACCACGACCGACTAGTTCCGGAGAAATGCGTGGACAAACATACATACATATATATACACGTATAAAATTTCGTATATTTGCTTGGAAGCCCTAATAGATAATTATATGTGAATATATTGCAGTTCCTATAATATTACATACATACGTGTCGAATTGATACCCTCCTTTTTTGAAGTAGGTTAAAAATTCAAACGGAGTTTACGCTTAACGGAATATATCTTGAAAACTACGCAGTCTTCGAATGTGTGACGGCTCATTTGAACATTTTACAAGAATGTCTACAAGTTGGATCGTCCATAGCCAAGCAAGATACTTTTATAAACGGAACTACAAATTTTTTTTTATATTAGAGGGAGCAAACGAGCACACGGTAAGTGGCCTTCGCCGCCCATGAATAACTATAACACCAGGGGAATTGCAGGTGCGTTGCCGGCCTTTTAGAAAGGAGTACGCTCTTTTCTTGAAGGTCCCTAAGTCGCATCAGCCCTCTCTGCAACTTCTGCTACAGCAGAAGCTGCAGAGTGGCTCTACCACTGTTAAAAATTTCGGAACGCTATCGAGCCTCACATCAGACTTGCGGTAACATTGAGATATTTAGCAACTGGGGATAGTTATGGTTC